AAAAAAAAAAAAAAAAAAAAAAAAAAAAAAAAACCTGAAGCAGGCGGTGTACCCTCTATCAAGATCATAGGTGCTGCCATCACTGGCAGGGGACGTCCTCTGGGGTCAAAGCCTGCCCACAACAAGACAGCCGACAGGACACGACCCTAAGGAGCCTGAGCCAGTCACTCCTCTGCTTCTCGTCCATCTTCCTTGGGCCCCTGGCCCCAGTGCCGGCCTCCCAGTCACCCTCTCGCTGTGCTTCCATCTCAGTCCTCTTCCCCTGTGCTGACACAGACGCAAGGACGCAGCCCTTGGCTCTAAAGAAATGCTGAGACACCCCAGGAGATAAATATGTGTGAGTGGTGGGGCTGGGTATATTTTCTCTGCCTTCTGCCTTATTGTTTCCTTTTCATCTTCGGAGGCAATGAAACCAAGAGAGCCCTTCTGGAAGAAAATACCTCCTCCTACCAAACCCCAAAGTGACACTCGATCCTTCATAGGTGAGACTTGGGAGCAGAAAGCAAGAGCGACTGGGTTCTTCCCTTTATTACCAAGAACCATGTGGCTTTTACACCTTTTTATTTCAGTTGGGGTCTCACTCCATCACCCAGATTGAAGTACAGGGGCATAATTATGGCTCACTGTGGCCTTAATCTCCTGGGCTCAGGCAATACTTCCATCTCAGCCACCCCTCCAAGTATCTGGGACTTACAGGCACCTGCCACCATGCCCAGCAAATTTTTTGTAGAGATGAGGTCTTGCTATGTTATGTTGCCCAGGCTGGTCTCAAACCTCTGGGCTCAAGCAGTCCTGCTGTCTTGGCCTCCCAAAGTGCTGGAATTACAGGTGTGAACCACCAGGCTCAAAAGGCCCAAAAGATGTGAGCCTTATGCTTTAATTAGCATCTCCATCACTGGATGGACAGGTGTATGTTCACCCCCGAGCAACCTGTCACCGACCCAGGAGAGATTTTCCAGGTCAGATCCAGCCCCATCCATTCAGAGAGCAGGAAAGAAACCAGAGGTCAAGAAAGAGGTGACAGATGAAACCCAGCTCCCCCCCCCCAGCTCCCCAGGGCCACAGATGCACTCTCCCCACCCCAGAAGGTAGAGTCTACAAAAACCCAAATGGGAACTCCATGACCCTCACCTGCTGCCAACTGTGCAGCTCTATCACTCGCAAGCCACTGACATGGCAAGGGCCATTTCGGCTCTAGTCCCGCTCTTTGGGGATGCCGTTAGGGGCTGGGGTCCTGCTCTTGGCACCTAGGACATCTGGGGCACCGAGTCCACACTTCCCTCGTTTCAGGCCAACCATGCCACCCAGCCTCCACCTAAAGAGGCGGGCGTTTACCAATGCAGCAACGCCTGCCAGTCTTGCCCAGTGTGCCGCTTTCAGCTTGCAGAACAGATCCCGATGCTCCTTTCGACACACAGAAGGCCCATGAAGCGCAGGCGAGATTCCAGCTTCGAGGTCGCACCTGTTCCCTTGCACCTTGAGGCTGCCCTCTGCCCCACACTCCAGCCTAGAACTTAGCCAATTCAACTGCAGCGTCACCCGTTTTACCTTGCATTCTTCATCCAGCAGGTCCAAGATGCCCAGCTTAGCTTCTATGAGGTCGATACAAGGCTGGTTGTCAGAAAAATCAATTAAGGTCCAAGGGATCTGCTCCTTCATGTATTCTTCTTGCTCCAGCTTGAACACGTGCTAGGACAGGATGCGAGAGGTCACGGAGAGTGAACTGCAGACGTTCCTCAACATGCACCTCCCCAGCCCTCGGTGAGCTCTGGGTCCGGAGGGACAGTTAGTATCTGCCCAAGAAGGTCTGGGCACGAGGTCACCATCATGACTGCAGAAAAGTGAAGCTCCGGTGACTTCTATTCCTAAGTGAACCCTCCCTGGGACATTTTGACAATCATTTGTGTCACTGCACCCCACCCAATCACAAGCCCACATCTGTCTTGCAGTTGCCTAAGCATCCTAGAAGCCCAGGTTCAGGGGAGTAGGAGTCAACGCCAAGGGGAGGACCACCTGTCTGCACTCTCGGCATAGCTGCCCTGGTCCAGACGTCCTCCTGAGTGGTGGAGAGGCCCTTCCCGTGTGGGCGCACCACCAGGAAACTAAGGGAGGGTCAGGGCAAAGCTAGGGTCCACTGGCCTCCAATGGAGGAGAAGTGGCCTGGGCAGGCACTCCTAGAAAGACAGACAGTCTCCTCCACCCTGACACCCCCTGGTCCAGAAACCAAGCCTACCAAGTTGAACTGCTGCTGAAGCTTCTCATTCGCGTAGTTGATACAAAACTGCTCAAAGCTGTTCACTTCAAATGTCTCGAAACTGCAGAATGGAAAGAGAAGATGAAAGTGAGAGACAAGGTCTCCTTTCACCAAAGGAGCCACTGGGCTTCAACAAGGCTACTCTACTGGATGCCCTATAAATCTGCTCTTGGGCTCAGGAGACGGCTGCCACAGACTTCAGCAACTAACTCTTTTCTTGTTAAATTCAGGAAGAATGTCTATCTGTTTTCATAACCACAAAAAGTACTGGCCGAGGAAGTTGGGAAGAGCAGACATAAAAAAAGAAAAGGGAAACCGATGACAGTTTCATTCACATCGACCATCAGTTATATCTTAGAAGGTTTCCCTTTTGGGATTTTCTTTCTTTGAAAAACAATCAGAATTATATGTAAAGTTTTGCCTCCTATTTTTATCTTGTGACTTCCCATTGTAAACACCCGCACACACGCACGCGCGCACACACACACACCTGTTCTGCAGGCATCAGTTTATCAGTTTCAGCATCTGCCTCATGGACCTACGTGTGGACCAGGGCTGTGGTCTAGACCTGGGCGTTGCAAATGTTCCCAGGTGAGGGATAAGGGTGCTGCAAGCCAACTGGCTCCTCAGAGCCACGGAGGGGACATCTGCCCATCACCCAAAGGTGCTTCCTGGGCTGGTAGTGGCCCCCATGCAGATGCACCCTAATTTAACTGAGTGCCCACTGAGGACATTTTTGCTCTTTTTCCAGTTTTTAGTTGCTGTCAGTGTTGTGACACATTCTTTGAATTCATGATTCTTCCCCAGAATAACTACCATGCCAACGAGCACTGCTTTTCTAATTTATGTCATTACCCCACCCCCACCTCCCAAAGTATGAAAGTGTCTTGTTCTCCTAATACTACTCAGCAATGTTTTGTTTCAATCACCTTCACTGAGTTAGCCTTTGCACACAATAAAAGGTACCAATTATAAGTGTATTTTTTTATGCATAAAAATGTGTTTGTTGGAAGGCTGAGGCGGAAGGACTGTTGGAGCCCAGGAGGTCAGCACTGGGGTGGCCGTGAGGGTGCAGCTGCACTCCAGCCTGGGCAACAGAGTGAGACTCCAACTCAAAAGAAAAAAAATGATTGATGTTGTTTCCTTCTAACATCTCTTGATAGGGTGACGCATTTTGAGAGAGAAGCTTTAGAGATAGAAGCTCTATGGTATCCAAATCCAGACAGAGAACATTTTCATCACCTGGACTGTTTCTCCTGCACTCCATCAAGTCAGTCCCAGGCATATTTTCCCATGCACCTACTCTTCGTGGGAGATTGGGAGGTCAGTGTATTACAGCTCTTTGGTCAAGAGCATATATTAACTTTTAAAATTTTTGTTTAAGATTTACTTGGCAAAACAATTTTATGTTACTATAGAAAAATGTCCGTTTTAATTTTTTGTTCATAGATTGCAACATTTTTGTGACTGTACCAGTCATCTGCCCTTTGTGAATTGTCTGGGATGCTTGGTAAATTTTGTTGGGTTTTAACTTTTTAAACTGACTTATCTCTCCAAACTTTGGCTCAGAGGTTTGCAATGAGGCTCCATCGTTGTCTGGGGGAAGGCGCCACTGTCAGAGGGTAGGTGATAAGATGTGGCATGGCAGAGGGAGGAAGTCTCAGGAGCTACATCGGGGTCTGGCTCTCACCAGGGCCACGGGGAGACTCTAGAGGATGTCAAATTAAGAAATGGCGACCAGACATGCACCTAAGAGACTGACAGGAGAAAAAATGACTTGGGGGAAGGCGTACAAAGACAGAAGCAGGAAAATCGAGTCAGGGGCTTGTCATTGGAGCAGGAAGCCAGGCAAGTCCTCAGCAGGGCTGGCTTGGGCTGGTGGGGGCCAAGTAGGAGAAAGTTCTAGAGACATTAAGGAAGATGGGGATGACCAATGGGATGTGCAGATGAGATGTGTGCCGCTGCGTAGATGTGTGTGGCCCCCATGCCGGCAACATCTCACACACCAACAGCTTTAGCCACAAGTGTGCAGGTCACCTTGTACACAGAACAGCAGCAGGCCACAGGGAGAAAGGGGCAGAGACCTACCAAGAAGAGGCACCCTTTTCTCATTCATTCAAAGGGTCAAATGGCCAGCAGTGGCCCTGCTCAGGAGTGCCCACAGAACTTCTCCACAAGAACTTGTTGCAGTAAGTCCCCTATGTACAAACCTTCAAATTATGAACTTTGACGATGCATACCTTCTTTTTTTATGTACTATTTCTCTCCACCAGGTGTCAGTATAGCCTGTCAAATACATACAGTACTCCATAGCTCACTGTGTTAGTTGGGCGCTTAGGCTAACGTTATTGGATGGTGGCTCATGCCTGTAATCCCAGCACTTTGGGAGGCAGAGGCGAGAGGATTGCCTGAGCCTACACGTTCGAGACCCGCCTGGGCAACATGGAGAGACCGCATCTCTACAATAAATCAAAAAATTAGCAGGTGTGGTGGCACATGCCTATAATTCCGGCTACTTGGAAGGCTGAAGGGTGAGGGTCACCTGAACCCAACAGGTCGAGGCTGTGGTGGCCATGAGTGTGCCACAGCACTCCAGCCTGGGTGACAGAATGAGACTGACTAAAAAAAAAAAAAGATAAAACAAATTGGACTTATAAACGTACCCTAGGAACAAAACTCATTTGTATGTTGGGGACGTCCTGCAGTGCCCCACCATCAAGAGATAGGACCCATTATTTATTAACCCCATCTTACAGTTGAAGAAATTGAGGTGCGGGGAGACGAAATAACCTGGCCAAGGCTAGCGAGTCAGTAGGCAGGAGAGCCAGTATTTGAACTCAGAGAGTCTTAATTTAGAGTGGTGGAAAAGTCTCACGGAAAAGGAAGAAGAGAGGGCTGTGAACAGGAAGGATAACTGCCCTGAAGGGGACATATCTGATTGCATGGCAAGGGGCAGGGGCCAGTGGCACAGGCTTCATCCCGGCTTCCTCATAATCTTCACATCTCTGTCTCTTCCCATTCTTCAGTATGGATACCTGAATTTCCCAATCTTATATAAAATGTCATGCAAGCCCTTCCAGACAGAGCATACCACCTAAGTGCAACCCCCAAACAGAAATGTCAGAGCTGCCCCTGGTGGGGGATAAGGGTGGTGATGTGGAGAGACAGCACCCGTGGAAAAGCACCACCAAAAACAGACACATCGGACACCCAACGGGGATAGGTCAGCGCCCAGAGAGCATCAGGCTTCTCCAGCCTGGCAGCCACCTCCCCCGCCCAGCTATAAAACACGGAGAAGTAGGAAATCACATAGAGATAAAAGGAGTCCACGGCTTGGAGACAACCACATTAAAGCACAGCCCTTGGCCATAACCACACGGGAGATATAATTCTCGGTTTGTAAAGTAAGATCAAAGATGCAAAGTCCAAGCTGGGAGGCACTCCAGACCCGGTACAGGAGAGCGCTGTGTCTACCCGCCACTGTTTTGGACGGGGGCCTTCTGGACTGAATTGTATCTCTTAGAACCTCATTCCCTCCTCCATCTCCCAACCCAGAAAGGTGGTTGATGACAGACCAGCTCCAGAGGAAATGTCATTAATAAAATCCAGAAGGAAGATAAAAGAGCCACTCCAGCAACTAGCCAGATAATAGCAACCGAGTGAGCTGGCTGAGCTTGTACCAAGTCCCACAGCGGAGGATTTAAATATCTCCCACTTGTCATTTTCTAAAGGTATATGTTGGCAGCACACCACAAAGAACATTCTCCTTAATTTGAGATGATCTGAAATTAGCTCATAATTTTCCTATTTCTAAGATATTATCTGGTAACAATTCCTCTGCCAGATAGATAGCATAATCACTGTAACGCTGGAGGCCCAGAGATGAACAACGGGCTTGGGAAATGCCCTGGATGACGGCCTCAGAAAGCCGCAAGCAGGGAGATACAGCAACTCTCCTTCACAAAGAAGTTGCATTTGCAGTAATTCCTCCCATCATCAGAGATGACTTTTTAAAATAAACACAGTAAGTCAATTCGTAGCTCACAACGTTTAAATGTCGTGAAGAAATTTATATCCTAAAGGGAATCAAACTTCTCTTGTAAAATCAAGGTTGAGAATATTTAGACCAGAATCCTTGGGTGGGAGGAAAGTCACAGCGTGGAATGAGACTTGGTGCCGAGATGTGGCACCAGACTCCTGGTGGTATAATGATCCCTGCTTCGATTTCCTTCTGTCTTCAGAATGTAGCCAAAAGTAGGCAACTTCCTTCTCATTCTACCCCAGTTTTAGGGTATAGTGAGGGCCATGAGTAAGGGCCTCTAAAAATAAAGTAGCATCTGCTAGTGAGTGAAAATGCAATAAAAAGAAGTCAGTCCCTCACCTTAAGTTAATGATCAACCTCTACAAACTTCCTCTGACCTGGAGAGAGAGTAGAGAGGCAGCGAGAGGCTCTGAAGGTGGGGAAACCGTGCTTCCCCCAGAGCACAGGTCAGAGGAACCGGAATCCCTTAGCTCAGCCCTGTCTTGCTAGTTTTCAAAGCTCACTGCCAGCATTCTGCCTTTGGTAGATTGAAAAGATACGAGATACAGGTTAGATACAGAGGAGAGCTGCTAGGCAATGATTATTAAAAGTCACACAGAAAATAGGATGTAGGGAAATTCTCCATAGAGAAGCCTTCAAAAACAGGGTCACCATATAATGGAGTCAGAGAAATGTCCCATGCATTGTTTCAAGGTCCCTTTCTATCCCGAAACCTAGGAGACCTCACAAGAGCCCCCTGGAGGCTGATAGAGAGGCCAGCCCTTCTGAACCTTACTCAACAATCTTAGGGTGCTGGTTGCACTTTAGAATGGCAGTACTTTAGTTCTGCTCAGGTGCTTTCCTCTGTGCCTAGATGTCTCCACACAGGACTTGACCTTCGGGGTGAATACAATCCCAGTCCCTACTCCCCAAGGCCAAGAGCTGTTATTCTTCTCAATGATGCAAATCTACACAGTTTCCCAAGTGTCCCAATTCCTGGCGCCTCCTCATGCTTCAACTCCGATGGAGGACAGGAAAAT